AGCGCAAGCAGTGAATACAATCACATCGCGTAAAACATACATTTCCAGAAACTGGCAGGAAATCGATGTTTTGTTAAATTTGGAGCAGATGCCATCAAGCAGCTTTTTTCAAGTCGCTTTTGTATTTCTTCTGCCGCTGTATCCACATATGAGTCAAGAGATATTTTGCCACTAAAAAAAGACGACAGATAAAGCAATAAAACACATTTTCAGGTCAAAACCAATCGCAAAACGCAAAGCAAAGTAGATTGCTTTTCACAAAAAAAGGGGAGGGGGCATTTCGATTTTGCGCTGCTCTATCTTTGCTGCTTTTGTTTTTGCAATTTTTTTTTTTGTGTCTTCGAACAGGAAACTGAAAATGTGAAGGATGGAAATTTTGAAAATTGAGACCTACCAAAAGGAAATACGAAAAATAAGAAAATTCCAAGCGCAACGGCGAAATTGAATGCAAAATTTGCTGGATTTGGTAACTCGATACTGTATTTGTCGGTTCGATAATAGTACGGAAGGACACGATACATTGTTATTCCTACAAAAAAACACTGTCATAAAAACGAAGAATTTCTCTTTCCTGTGCAAACAGAAAGTTTCAGTAAAAAGGAATGAAATAAAGAGAAAGAAAAAGGAAAAAAGATTGTAAGTAATGAAAATAAGAAAATTTCAGGGAGATTGTTATAATGGTAAGAAATGTTTCGGTCCATTAAGTCATTCCAGCTGCCATTTTAGAATCTCAGCCGCATTAGTACAGAGCCACCAGACGCCTTCCTAATGAGAACCGGACCTGTTGCTTTTCTAAAACCCTCGAACTAAACGATTTCATAACTAATGAAAGAACAAATACCCTCATTTTACTACAGCTTTACACAGTCGTAATCAAGATCAACATCATAACCACGGTAGCATTAACACAAGCTTTCCCCACATAGTCTTTTCTTGAATTTCCTGAACATACGATGCTCTGAACTTTTGCCATCATATATAAAGACATCTAATCAAAAAACACTAAAAACGATGGTCTGATAGAAGAGCCAACACACCGTAACAATTTTTTTGAGATATTTTTTTCTAAGGCCGATTGTAGAGGCGATTACAACTAAGAGTAATGGGAAACCGGTGAAAAAAAGTAACCTTCAAGAATCAAACCGAGCGGATACATTGGGATCCAAGCATTGTATCGTAGCCAAGTCAGCAAATTTACTTTAAGTTCGAGACTGGATGCCGCATAATAAGGATACCTGAAGTATATTTAACGAATTTTAATAAACATTTTCAACACGTCAAAAAAAAAGAATTTATAAAAACGGTTGAGTTTAAAACCTCATAACTTTAACAGGGTCAATTCAAGGCCTGCATAACGCAAATTCGTAAAAATGTTCAGTGTCTGAATTAATATATATTTTTAAATTTGATTAATAAACAAAAAAATTCAGTTTTTCCTCCTTTGCTTCTCACTGCCTCCATTCCTAACCCATTTTTTTTCCTTTTTTCTTTCTTTTTTTTAACATTCATTCCTCTTTAACTACTAATAATTTTCGGTCTGTGTATACAGCTGAGGGATGAAGCACAGACTGCGTCATAAAATGTCTTCAAATGACATTCAAGTGAAATCCTTCTATTCTTCTATTTCAAATACAGCACTTGCTTAAACCATGAACTCTTTTAAGAGTTTTTTTAAGCTTATATTCGTTCTTGAAATAGTTCTTTATTTCACTGCTGATTCATATAAAACCCCTTTGTGGAGCATTAAGTTCTTGACTTAGTTACTTAACAAGCACATAATTTCGGCGCTTCATCATAACACAAAGTCTGCTACTTCAAAACAGTGTAATAACCACCCCAAATAATTAACTATACAAAGAACGAACAAACCGGAAAATTTCGATCGAAAAATATACCACTATTAACAGGAAAGTCGTTATCGTATTCTGGACATCAGGACATCCATCAATGATATAAATTATTGCCAGACGTCCAAAAACCTTTAAAAAAATTGGCAGCTAGAAATAAATATTTTTGAATATTGTAATTTTTATTTCTTGAATAATTTTCTTGTAATGTAATATTTTTATTTTTCGAAGGAATTTTTTTGAATTTTATATTTTTGAATATTGTAAAAACTGGTGCACAAAACAGAACAAATGCAGTAATCCAGTACTTCCAGCGCGTAAAAAACTTTCAGTCAAAGCGCCTGTGCATGTTCCTAGATTTTCACGGACATCTTCCACTTTTGTAACAACAAGTTATCACAGGATTTTGCAGGCGTGTGGATGAGTGAGGCCCAAAATGAGAAGAATGGAGAAGTTGCCAGCTGCGAAATGGAAAGTGATGAAGAAACAACAACTGATCAAAACATCTTTCATGCATCTAACATTTA